GCGTACACTAAGACGGCGGGATGTCGCTCCGTTCTTTGTCTCGTTGCTCCGTTCTCCGCCCGTGCACCGTGTCCACATACGGTGCCGCCTTGCGGACAGGTGGGGGTGGACGTGTCGGTGGACAACCAAGCAGCAGACGATGGGCAGCGTGTCCTTCCCGATCAGCCGCGAGGCGCTGGAACGAGGTGGCCGGTCTGTCCCAGGGCAGGGTGAACTACGTACAGCTGAGCATAGGTCAGTTCCGGGGCGCCGGGTCACGGGCGCTCCCTTCGACATGAGCCTGGCTCCCATTATGGTGGTGCAGCCTAGTGCCAGCACCTAACTTCAGCAAGTCTTTTGTGCTGAGATATCATCCTTTTGTTGAACTGACCAAACATTCGCCAAAAAACGACGATGAATTGAATTCTGTAGCAGAATACACATGAAGGACCCCATTTCCAATTCGCAGTGTCCTTGCAACATCACAGTACAACTCCCATCAATATTGGATGCGTGTCGCTTCCGGCGGACGCCTCCGGCTGAAACGAGCGCGGCCAAGTGGCCCGTTGGGACAGCGCACTGTGCAGATTTTGCCCACCGGATGTACCGCTGTGTAGCAGGCAGTCTGTCCCCGGCCATCTGACCGCCCCCCCCCCCCCCCTGCCCCGGAATGAAGGAAACGCGCTCTGGTGGTGGGCGGGGCGTGTTGTGGAGCGCGGCCCACTCCGTATGACGCCGTCCGTCGTCTTCGGCGCCGGCCAGCGACCTGTGACCGGGCTGACGACCCCTCGTGTGAGCCGCCTGGTGACCTGTGACCGGGCTGACGACCCCTCGTGTGAGCCGCCTGGTGACCTGTGACCGGGCTGACGACCCCTCGTGTGAGCCGCCTGGTGACCTGTGACCGGGCTGACGACCCCCCCCCCGTGTGAGCCGCCTGGCTGTCAGCCCCTGTCGAGAGCGGTTCACCGCAGTCCCGACAGGGCCGGGCGCGTGTGACCGGGCTCCGGCGCGCTTGCCGCAGACTTGGACAAGGAGACCATTAACCTGGCGGCGGCCGACCACCACGCCGGCGGCGGCGCTCGCACGGCACGTGCCCACCGACCACGCGCGCTATCACCTGTACGTGTTCAGCCACCAGGTACGAGGGTGACCAGTTCCACAGTCTCGGTGAGTGGGTGCTGGCCACTGTGCGGGACCGGCGTCGTCATGGAGTTGCCAGGTTTGAACACAGAACTCGCCGGCGATACGAGCCGGCCGCATAGGGTCCGAGGCCATACATGCTATCCTATTTGCACAACGGTGCAGGCTGCGGCGGTGCAGATCATTCCGAGTTGCCGCCTATGCTGATCGATTCGTCTCAGCTTAAAGAGCAAGGTATGCCTTGTTAAATCTGATGTCGAGACATCTGAGTGGAAATTTATACTTTTAAAGCGATGTTGTGAAAGTAAATCTTGCTCACTGAAAAAATGTCATTTAGTTTTAGTGGCAGAGACGCGACATCTCCTGCTTTTTCGTGTTCGTCTCGTGGTCTTTACGTTGCGATGCTTTTGAAATCTTAAGCTTGCGTATGGGCACTATGGGGCTTTGGTACCCGCGTTGTAGTCGGACATAAAGCCACCATGTGATGTGACGTTTGGACAAAAGTGCTGGGGTTTGCCGCATTCTTCATTGAAATTTTCTGAAAAAGCCGTCATTCGTGATTTTTCCCTCAAGTTGACAAGCACAAAGCTAGAAATATGTTTGGTAGGCTCAACCTGCTGCCCGCGAGTGCTGCGCTTGAACTGCGCGGAATTTTAGAGGACGCGGGGCGCCGGTGCCTGACGCAGTGTGTATTGGACTGGCGCCTGTAAGGCCCGCTATATGCCAAAGGAAGACCACACACAGCTCTGTCGTGGGCGCCGAGCAGCCACTCCGTACGCGAGGGGGGGTGGGGGAGGAATGCCGACTGTGTGCTGGACGGACGGCGGTGGTCGGCCTGAGGCGGACGGCGGCGGTCGGCCTGAGGCGGACGGGCGGCGGTCGGCCTGAGGCGGACGGCCGCGGTCGGCCTGAGGCGGACGGCGGCGGTCGGCCTGAGGCGGGACGGCCGCGGGTCGGCCTGAGGCGGACGGCCGCGGTCGGCCTGAGACGGACGCGTGCCGACCTGTGGTGCCGCCCCGCCAGTGTTCATCTACTCCATGCCCGGCTACAACTGCTCCATCCGGGAGCGCATGCTGTACTCCAGCTGCAAGTCCTCAGTCATCGACGTCATAGAGAACCAGTGCCAGCTGAGCATCACCAAAAAGGTGGGCGGGATCGGTCCACCTGGATGTTGCCATGGTCTCCCTGTAAGTGACCAGAGCTGTGAACCGGCCGCCGTGATGTCATGTGCCTGTCCTGTGTTCGGCTGGTGGGCGCTGTCTTCGGCTTACGCGCCCTGTCCAGGCTGGTCAGTGTGAGGTAGACACGGCTGACCAGTCCGGATCGGTAGGCTCCCGGACTGTGTCCCCCCACGCAGCGGGGTAACAGCCACGCCAGCGCCTCCTGAAATAGACAGTGGCGTGTTTATTGGCCGCATTGGGACGACCCGCCGCCGGCGCACCTGCTGGCCGTATGCCTATAGTCTGGCGTCTGCGACTGGACCCTTCCGTTTGATCGGCAGATCGAGGTGGATGACCCCAGCGAGCTGACCGAGCAGTTCCTGATGGACGAGATCCACCCCAAAAAGATGCTGCATCGGCCCAAGTTCGCCAAGCCCAAGGGCCCGGCCAGCCGCGGCGCCAAGCGGCTGACCAAGCCCGGTCCGGCCGACTCGTAGCCGCCTGACGGCCAGGCCCGTCAGCGTCAGGTGCGTGCCGTCCGGCGGGCGCCGGGTGAGGCCGCCTCCGCCGACGGCGGCCGCAGCGCATGTTTTTGTATTTGTACGGCGGCGGGCGCCGGAGGCTGCGCGCGCTCGCATTATGTCGGTCCGCTTCAAGCGTGACTTCCATGTACGGTCGATGCGTGCGACCGCACGCCGCTGGGCGCCGCGCGTGACGCAGCGTCACCAGCAGCACGGAGGCCCGCGTGGCCGGTGGCGCGCTGACAGGTCGCGGCCACGCTTCTAGACGAATTCAAACTGTGATTTTTCATAAACTGTGACCGGTAGGCCCTATTGTAGAACACGGTAGGCCCTATCGTGGAACACGTTAGGTTCTATTGTAGAACACGTGGATCCTAGATGTGGGGTCATCTGAGGCTTTTCTCGACGATCGACCATGCATTTTCATGCACCGTTCCCGTAAGGACTTGGCTCGGGTTGGAGGGGCTCGGCGAATACGACAAAATGTCAGGAAAATTACCACAAGCCCGGCAAGCGGTGGTAACACGACTGTGGCGTGGCAGCCGTTTTTTGCGCCTGGTGATGTATTTTAGAGAGTAGGAACTGTATCATGTGTTAAGCTTAACCGAAAGGGAAGAGGCGGTGGTGGCGATAAAATGGCCTCAAAATTGTAATCCTTATTCGTTTGCAGTCAGAGAAACCGTGTGGCGACAAAGTATATGCCGAATACATGTGTTTATATTGTTCTAATTCGGTGAAATGAGGAAGTTTGGCCCCCTTACAGCATATATTAATCCGCTTTGTGGATGTATATTACCCACTGTATGTGCACCAAAGATTACCGCCAGGAAATGAAACGGTGTTATGTACAAGAAAGACCGTGTAGCGCCCGTGTCCCCGAAAATTGATGCTTCATCCCTTGTCTGTTGGAGACTTAATATCGTGTGTTGTGCTAACGGGACTGTTCCAGGTTCATGATCGCTTCAGGTCACGGACACCCCTTATAAGATGACGTCAGACACGTCCGCCTCTCAAACTGCGTTCTTGGTCAGCTTGTTGTCTGATCCAATGCAAGACCGCTCATTCATTGTCAGGTCGTTTCGCCCAGATGCGACAGCGCACGTCCTTCACATCACGTGTGGAGGAGCTTGCGGACAATGGCAACGTGCAGTGTGATCACATATAGCTCCCAGTAATAACCATGAATCACGATTTTGAAAACACCAATGTTTTTGTTAACAGAATGGCTGTGGCCAAACTTGATCATGTGCATAATTGGGCGGTGCTAGTGCCGTGTCCAACCGTTGCAAGCCTGCGATCAAACCGCTACCTTACATACTGCCAGTGTAAAACCCAATACACATTGTACGTTTCGCCGGCGTCTCGGACCACGTTCCACTGATTTGGGCAGCTCCGTTTGCCAGTCAGTGAAATATGCAAACGGAGAAAGGGAAGAATGAACATGCAGTACTGTGTGGCCCTCGTCGAATGACAATACAAACGGTCTAGGAGGCACAATACGCATATTCATTACAGACAAGCACACTAAACAAAATAAGCACCGAGCATAACGTCGATAAAAAGGCCGTTAACTGCCGACCGCAAGCTCAGCAGCTGATGGCGCCATCACCAGGGCCACGAGAGACGGGCCTCGACGGGTAAGGCGGTGCGGGCGGCGTGAGTACCACACTGGACAGGAGCGCCGCCCGCCGATAACCGCTCTGCCCCGCTTCCGTCACTGGCCCGCGCCCACCTCACAACACGTGCCTGAGCGCACCTCACAACACGTGCCTGAGCGCACTTCACAACACGTGCCTGAGCGCACCTCACAACATGTGCCTGAGCGCGCACACTTCAGCACATCGTCCATGCCCGTCTGATGGAACAGAAACACAGAGACCATCATACCGTAGCCGGTTGTCAACAGCCTCAGCAGCCCCAGCAGCCTCAGCAGCAGCCTCGTGCACAAAACGGTACCTACAGAATGATTGGATGTCACTGGTGAGCTGCATTGCAGCTATATGCAGCCAGCGGTGACGTGCCCTCCGGCAGCCGGTCACCGGCCAGCGGTGGAGTGTCCTCCGGCAGCCGGTCACCGGCCAGCGGTGGCGTGCCCTCCGGCAGCCGGCCACCAGCCAGCGGTGGCGTGTCTTGCGGCAGCCGGCCACCGGCCAGCGGTGGCGTGCCCTCCGGCAGCCGGTCACCGGCCAGCGGTGGCGTGTCTTCCGGCAGCCGGCCACCGGCCAGCGGTGGCGTGCCCTCCGGCAGCCGGCCACCGGCCAGCGGAGCCGGCTACACCGGACGGCTCAGTCGAAGCTGGGAATGTCCTCGAATGAGTAGCCGTCGTAGCCGATGTAGGCCAGGTATGCCATACGCACGTGATAGGCGCCCGGCACGAACATGATGAGGCCCAGCACGATCAGGGGCCAGGTGCGGTCGGCGTACTGCGGAAACATATGGCGTCACTGTACCTGGGTGGCCCGCACACGTACGGAACACCGGCTGCGACAACCCCACAGGCCGCTAATATAAAAACACGCGGTGTTCGGCGCACATATGGACAGCGCTAACAGTTAACTGATCATCAGGGCGGGGGAAGCGGCGACCAACCGCAGCTGCGTGTCCGCGAACGGATGTTCACGGTCAGTGAGCCGTGAACAGCCCGTCCGCCGACGTCACGGACGGGGTTGAGTCCCGACCCCCGCCCGCTTACCCGCTCGTCGAAAAAGCCGGATACAAGCAAGCTGCCCATGACGAGCAGTGTGGTGCCGCCGGCGAACAAGAATGACGCCAGGAAGATGCTTTTCCACGGGATCGGCTTCCGCACTGTCTGAAACTACGCCGGCCAGCGTCCGTGAGACGGACGACCCACAGCTCGAACGGCCAGCGGGACACGGCTCGAACGGCCAGCGGAGCACGACCGGTGGGCCTCCATGCCGAACAGTGGCTGAACGACCTCGACATAGCTGAGCCATAACTACCCATAGCAGACAGCACAGTGTTCTCACGCCGTTCCCGATGTGGTTCCATTTCTTATAGCCGCAACGAGTCTTTTCGGGACAAAGTGTACCGTAAACCAGACCGCTGGGCCAGCGGACCATAACTCGCTGTTCCAACCTGCTCATCGCAGAACTGGCCGTCGCCGACGGCCGTCAGCCGGTGGTACTGGGCCGCGTGTTCAGGCGCTGGACCACTGGCATTCCGACGGCGCATCTGAAATGGACCAGCGTAAGGCAACCAGCTGTCTGCAGAGGGGCTCAACCACAATGACCTCATGGAAATGATTGTCATAAACACACACAGTATTGTTTGCTAGTAGCACAGTTCTTATGTGCATCATCACTTTTCTACTGGGTCATTGTCAGGGGAAAGGACTGCCAATTAATGACTGTACTGCATAACTCCATGCTAGTGCTGGTGAAAAGGTCCTCATGTCAGTTATGGTTGGCACTGGCACTGAAGAAAAACAGAAGGGAGTCTCCTTAGACTCCTTAAAGACTCATTAGGACTCTGAAGAATGTCATTTGCCCATCAGATCAGTTCACAGCTTGGGCATGAACTACCTAGTGCATGGAATTGTGGGTAGTCCATGGTTCAAGGTACTCAAGTTATCCTGACTGAAAAAGGTCACTGATAAAGAACAGAAACCTATTTGTGAAAACACAATATCCACTTACCATTCACCAGAAAGTTACTGGATTAATAGCATAGTTCATATCTCACCATAGCTATGCTCCTAAGCTGGACACACATGGACAGAAGGCAAAATGTCACTCATTTTGTGTGGCTGTACTATAGAATTGATACTGGTTCCACCTTCAAATAAGAATCAAAACTGATCCTCCATAGATTTGTTAGCTGTCAAGCAAAGCAATTTAGCATTTTCATGTGGATCACTTCTGATTCCTGGAAAGTGTACTTTTTTCATGTTTTATCACCTGGCAAAAGTTTCAAAAAACACTGATTACATGACAGTTATGAAAGAGAGCAGGGGCACAATTCCAATTAATAAATTTGGGTGCCTGGACAGTGACAGATGACAAGCTGGCCATAAAATACATCAGGAAATATGTCTCCCTAAGTTTTGCCCACTTTCTTCACAAGTTTAGAGGTCTGGAGTTGTTGGAGCTTAAGTGAGGGGCGGAGGCTGGTAACATCAGGTACCAATGTATACCGTAACCTCTCTCAGCATTTGCTGATGCTAACCACTGCCCTATGCCAAGTGCAGCGTAACTGAATATCACGTGGGCTATCACTTAACATCGGGCTCAGCCGGCCAATGCTTGTTTGCGGTCGCAATGTTGGGAATTTCGTGGTATTTGCAGTACTTTACTTGCAAAGGTCATGGCTATTTATGAAACGCCAACTTCATACAGTTACGCTTCTATGCACGCCCAACACTTACAGTGGAATGAAGTTTGATGTATCTTACACCGTACTCCAATCCCACCGCCACCCCACCTTAATCATTGATCGCAACGAAACGTTAGGAGCAAGGCGAAGAACAGGCATGAAGTGCATGCGATTTCGAAGGCACTTTCAACACTACCATTATTTGTCGCTGTTGCGGCGACTTTATGGATATGGCAGCTTCTATTGCCCGCGACACCAGAGGAAAATGGTGGGCCAAAACTGCTACGAGGAAAGGGCTTCATTGAGCGACAATGAGCATCCATTTCACGCCGTGGTCATTTCGTACCGTGGTCGCATGGGTGTAGGAACAGGGAGGGGGAGCAGGTGGCCATGCCCCCACTTTTCAAGGTGGGGGGGGGAGTGTTAACTGGCTGGCCCACTTTTCAGATTAAAGCTGTCTTTGACTTACTTTTGCACTACATCAGGGGCGGATCCGGAGGGGAAGGGGACACGGGGTCATGGCCCCCTTTGGGCCCCAAATGAGCCCATTGGTTCCGAGGGGGCCATCGCTGGCGGAACAGGTGCAGTTTTTTAAACACAAAACACAACAAAATTGGGTATTTCTGCACTTCCATGCGACCAAGAACAAATCTAAGCGAAAGTAAAGGCCGTATGAGAAGAAGGAAAATAGCTATTCACTGATTGGTAAAAGTTGTAAATTGGAAATCTTAAGCTTCATTACACTGTCTAGAGGCCCATGCCCTTTCCGGGAGACCCATATGCCCCCTTGTAGGATCATTTCAATCGTAAAGGAGCATTCCACATTGCCGTTCATTTCTTTGCATTTGCTCGGAGGGCACTGCGCTGTTGTTGGAGCCCTTCCTATGAACGTGCCGGGGCACTCTTGTCAATCGCGGGCCCTTCCACGGATTCTTTCCACTCGCCAGAAGGGCTCCGTGAGGTATAGCCGGGTCCCATATCTTAACCTGCCGGGGTATTCTCGGTTGCTCAGGGGTCCTTTTCGTGGATCTCGGTCAACCTGCCGACACACCTGCGATATGCTCATAGGCCCTCTACATTGGTCTAGGGCATTTCCCATTCTCTGTCACTGGCCTAGGGCCCTACACTCCTGTCGGGGGGCCATCTGATGGCCTGCTTGGGCACACCCAGTCGTTCGGGAACCCTCCACACTGGATCTTGGGGACTTCTTTTCTGAATCGGGCGGCCCTATGCTCTTGTGGCGGGCCCTACTTGTTAACCTGCTCGGACACACTCGATTATTCGGGGGCCCTCCACATTTTGTCTTGGGCACTTCCGATCTGAATGGAGGGCCCCACGCAGTTGTCGGAGACTCCATCTGTTCGCCGCTGCAGCCGCACTGGATTGTTCGGGGCCCTTTTATTGGGTTTTGGTGTTTGAGTTTGGGGCCCTACTCTCCCGTCTGGGCCACTTGATAATCTGCTCGGGTATACGCTGTCTTTAGGGAGCCCCCCACACTGGGTTTTGGCTACTTCCTATTTCAATGGAGGGCCCTACGCTCTTGTCGGGCCCGTTCTGATAAGCTGTTCGGGCACATTCCATCATTCTGGGTCCATTTGTACGAGGTCTTCGGTGCTTCCCATTCTAATGGAGGGCCTTACGCCCTTGTTAGAAAGCACTATATGTTAACCTGCTCGGGCGCACTCGATCGTTCCGAGCCCTTCACAATGCGCCGTGAGTATGTCTTATTTGAATGGATGGTCTTATGTTCTTGGCGGGCCGGATCTATGCGGATGCTCGGACCGGTGGTGGACGCAGGAGGTGGGGCGTGGCGAGGAGGCACGAGACCATCTCCCATGGACCAGGCCGAGGGTGCCTAAAGGCTCCAAAGGGGCCCATAACCGGCCGTGCGGACGCAGTCCTCTTACAAAAAAAACACACACACAACAAAATTGGATGCCTTTGGGCCGATAGACGACCAATAACCATCGTTAGCAAAAGCAAAGAGTTCATAAGTAAACGAAATTCATTCTTCGCTCATTGAGAAAGTGTTGCTTGGGGAAAATGTTGGGGCTCATTACGCTGCCAAGAGGCATCACGCTGTTGGTTGCCTGGCCCTCCATGTCCACTTGCCGGCTCAATCTGATTGCTGAGGAGCTTTTCACGTTGTTCTTGATCTCTTTGCATTTTTTTCGTAGGACTCAATGTGGTGCTGGGACGCCATCTGCCTCCATGCCTGAGCACTGTTGATTGATCGGGTTTTCCTCCACGGATTCTTCCCATTCATCCGAAAAGCTCCAAGTGCACTCAATTGCATAGGGGACCTTCATATAAGTCTCGGGTTCTTTCCACTTGCTTGGAGGGCCCTGTGCTGTTGCTAGGGCTTTTATAAGTTAAGGCACGGAGACATCCGATGCTCACGGGCCCTCTACTTTGATCGAGGGCTCTCTCCCTTTTGTCTCATTTGGGGAGGACTCTTCACCCCTATCGAAGCTCGTCATTGGGACTTTTACGACGTACTTGGCTGCTGAGGCTATATGGCGTCGCCTGCCTCTCACCCTGGCAGGAAGGGCACGGCACCGGGAGGATTCGAACCCCGTACCTCTGGTCTCCCGGACGCGCAATGGTCAAAGCAGACGCTTTAACCACTAAACTTCCGGCACCCCTCCTATCGGGGTTCGTGTTGCTAACCTGCCCGTGCACTCTTGATCTCACAGGGGTACTCATTTATGGTCTTTACTGATTCCCCTTTGCTCGGAGGGTCCTGTGCTATGACCAGGGCCTTATGTGTCAGCCTGCCGGGGCACTACCTATCGTTTAGGGGCCACCACGTTGGTCTTGCGTTCCTTTTGCTTGCTCTGAGCGCCCTATACTTGTTGACGAGAGCCACTATGTTGGCATCCTGCGGCACCTATGATCGCTCAGGTTCCGTCCCTGTTAGCATTGGTGCCTTCGCCTTAGAGCAGCAGTCGAATATGCGCCGATAAATTATTTACGCGCGATTGCCGAACGTAGTTTTACATGCCGCCGACGTCGTATGTGTCATTTCCATTGGCTGTTTAGTGTGTGCCACTCACTTTACTAGCGCATCATGTTCTTAACATATTTTAAATGTTTTAACACGTTGTACTCCTAAAAACAAGGGATAAATGCTGCATTAGTCATGAGCCATTAGCTGATTACATCACCCAGCCGGCTAGCCATAAAAAACGTAAGCTAGAAATCAAGTCCATGCTTGGTTTTGATGATTGTTAGCAGCCAACTCAAGTTTGTTTTGCCTGCTGTTCCGAAACACTTGCCTCAGAATCACAGCATTTGAAATAATCTGTAGAACATGAGTGAGCTCTATGTGTATGCATACGTGGCACGCCTACGCTTTATAGGGCTGCGCACAGTAAGACGGGTTTCTGTATTTAGTAAATAAATGGGGAAGTAAATATAAACTTACATCAGCATATATATATATATATATATATATATATATATATATATATATATATATATATATATATATATATTGATGTGTATATTACATACGACTTGTCTTGAAATGTTATGACCGAAATGCAAGGCTATTTTTGGGAGTGGACACCAAACTCCAGTTGGCCCTCACAATGTCTCGTGGCCCCCCCCCCCCTCCCCTCGTTGTCGAAGTCCTTGATCCTCCCGTGACCGTACAGGTAAAATATGCACCCGGACTATCTTCTGAACGTGCAGGTTGATGTTCTAAAGCGTTCAAACAAAGCGTTTTTGTCGGAAGCGTCATCATTTTCGTCTACCCACCGGCCGTCGCCTGGTGTAAGCTGCGGGGCCGGCGCCGCACAGGCTGTCCGGCAGGGTGCAGCGCAGGGGGTCGGTTGATGTCTTAGACTCGCCAGCGCGAAGTTCAAAACTATGTTATATAGATTTTGCCACTTGATTTGGAATGAGGCCCAGCATACCCAGACGAGCATGATCTGGCCATACTAACACAAACTGGTGGCCCCACTTCTGTCTACGATATACTTTCCCGAAGTCGTGAATAACTCAGCAGTCAAGAAAAAAATCATAGCAAAGTTCCTGAGCGTTATATGTTGGAAAATAGGTTACTGAACCATTGCAAATTCATAGCGCTGACCGTGAATTCCATGACGTCATTTTGGCGCTGGTTGTAAGATCGTTTACTGATTGTAAGATAGGAACAGAATTGCAACTCGCGGTGGCCTCTGGCTTCTGCACCAGTTTAAAAAATTAAAGAGACTAAGACATAGAAAATAGTGCAGCCTCGAAATGAAGTGAGCCGCATCTAGCGATCCTCTCCTCTTTGGAGAGAAGGGAGGAGCTGTCATCATCAGGGGCCCTTTTGTCAATCCTCGCCTCTCCCACACTTTACCAAGGCTTTGGCTGTGCCCCTGGTCTGGGGGCAAGCGGTGGCTGCCTGTCAAGCTCAATCCAGTTGAACGTTTATGATAAAGAGATGAGGGCGATAAACCGCATCTCGGGGTGCTGGGTTCCTGTTTTCGCCATTCAGGCGTACCTATCTCGGTTGCTGTATGACTACCTGACCTTGAG